GAAAATTCTTTATTACTTCAGCAACATTTTTATCAATCACCATTTTAGTTTTCCATTGAGGCATTCTTTTAATATTATCATGAATTCTTGGTAGAAGACCATTATTTATCAGGTGATTTCTAATATTTTCAAAATAAGTCCTGCCAATTCCCAACATATTGAGGTAGGTTTCTTGACAAAGAAGTGTATTGTGATTCCAGTGATAGAAAGTTCTTTTATTAGATCTGGTTTTCTTTTTAAGGCATCTACTACTGCTTGTTAATCCACCATCCATTGCCCTAAGTTGGGCCATTAAAAATATGTCTTGTTTTGCTTTAGAAAGTGCTTGAAAGGATTCCCTTAATTCTGCAAATTCTTCCTTAGGAATTCTTGAAGAACAACCACAATCACAACCTTTTTCTAAAAAATCAATTGCTTTTTGATATTCATTAGAACCATTATATTTATTACTTTTCATATACACTTATCCCTATATATAATTTTATGTTCACTTTGTAGGTTTTTAATTTATTTTAATGTAGGCACACCAAAAAAGCAATTAGTATTTCAAAGTAGAAAAGGTTCAATTTATCAAAAACAATTATAATCAAACATGCAGTTGTAATTCTTTGTTTAGACTTTATTATTAACACATAAATTTAAATTAATCAATAAAATAAACATTTTACTAGGTTATTTATTTGTAATAATTCTGAATATATGTTTTTCAGATCCACAGCAATTATTAAAATTTATTGGTGATTTTTGAAATTAATTCAACAATTGCAAGTATTCTTGCAAATAACTATATGATAATGAAGTAAACTCATGAAATATCATATTTAAAAAGAAAGGTTTACAGTTAAACAAATAAATATCAAGAATTTTCTAATGCTAATGTATATAGTATTATGGTGAAGACAGGAAATGGTACACCTAACTGTGCTGATGTTTGTCGCAAAGCAACACAAGAATGGAATAGAATTAAAAAAAAAAGCACAACAGAAATTGATGAAATAATCAGAAAATACCTAATCACACAATTTAACTTATATGATATACTGTAAACGTTCAAATAATTATCACAATTATTAGTAACGTTTAGATATTTATTTAACAATGTTAATGAACTTGATAATTTTATTGTTGTAAAATTATATATAAAAAGTTATCTTTATTTGTTTGAATTTTACCTCTTTAAATAATAAAAATACAATTCTTAAAATATAAATATAAATCATAAGAAAATAAATAAATATATAATCTATATATTGTATGGAAGCTTATAGACTTCCC